TTCAGAATATCATAAATATGCTAAGGTTATTCAACTGAGCCTAGGCCTGGGAAATGATGTTTTGGATTAACCATTCTTTGGGAAAATGCATTCAGATGGGGCCTGAAAGTTACAGAACCTGAAATGCCCAATTAAAATTTGTCTTTAAAGAATCAAACCCTGACTCTGTGAAAGAAGGGTACATTAAGCACTTGTATTCTCACCTGTACTGAACAGAATGAATCATAAAATCAAAGAGCAATGACCCAAGTAGTTCTCTCAGATGGATTTCTTTATTCTCTCACAGCAGTTGACTAATGATCCAGTAGCTAATCCCTGTGGTAATCCCTTTAGCTGCAGATAAAAGGAGACCCTCCACTCTTTATCATCACTGGCAGCATACACTTCAGCATAATATTTTAATATACATGACATAAATCCAGAAGTGCATGCTTTCATGACTCCATTCTTCCTTTTGAAGCATTAATGCTGGTTATAGGCTAGTGCGTAACATATACCTCTTATTACTCATAGAGCGAGTAAAAGGATGCGTAGTTCTTTTTTTCTTAAATAACTTGATAATCTGGTCGGGTTTTGTCGTGGACTGACCTCTTGTTTCCCTTTCCTGGGCTGGCAGAAGTCATCAGCAAGTCGTGGTTGCTGCTGCCATCACATTGCTACCCTCTACTCCAGATGACAGAAGAGCAGTGTAGAGGGTAGCCTGTCATCTCACTCGACTACAGAATTAAGGAAGTGGAATTTGAAAAACAAAACAACAGCAAGTAAGCAAGCAAAAGAACAGGTTATAATAAAACAAAATGCTCTCTCTGGGGCACGGACTCCTTGGATATGGGGATCCAATGGTCCCTAAGACAGCCTGGGAAATGGAGAACTATTTGCATGATGAGACTGAATGAACTTTTTTAGTTAGCCTGACAAAGCAAAGCTTTGCAAGGGAATGAAGTTAAGAACCAGGAGACTAACTCCTGAGAGGAGAAAAGGTACTCTTATGATTAAGAACAATGCTGGGATAGTGACAAACTGTTCATAGGGCATCTGTCAAATAGAGTCACAGTTCAAAGGTTCCCAATGAGTAGAGGCACTAGATGGAGAAACTGCTATGCCACAGCAGAAGTAGGGACATACAACCCCACTGTTCCTGGTGGAGTTCACTAAAATCATGCATGAATTTACATGATGCAAGTCCTCTGACAGCAAGAGGAGGCCTTTCCTTCTTCCTTAAAGCAAGAATATTAAATCTACAAGAAACAAGACGTCGCATGTAAACTACATTTAATATTAAGCAATTTTTCAAGGAGACACACTTTACACACGTTACCCAGCATTTGCCAGCTCTTTTTGTCTTTCTTACCACATGCTTCTCAAGAACAAAATAGAAGCTCTTACCCTTCAGAACAACACGTTTTCTTTAATGGTTGCATAATGCAGGTTGTAATGCCCTGATCTGAAAGGAATCACTATCATCTAGACTTTTGCATGCTCCTCCTAATGTTTAAACAGGATTTGGTCTTTCTGAATAAATGATGTAACCCTAGCTCTGTTGTGAAGGCTTCCTAGAAGGCTGACTGCCAGTATCAGAGTAGTTTTCTATTCTCACTAGTAAGAGACAGGATTGCTTACTTAATACTATGTGCAGATGTTCCGGCTGTGATTATGAAAGAAAAGGTTGTCAGAAAGACAAAGATTAAGAGCTATGTTAGAATAGCAAAAACTGATGATAAGGCTTCTGTCAAACATATTTGTACATATTACACCTTCAGTAAAAGTAGTTAAATAGTATATGAAATAAACAGCTAGGAGGCATCCAGACTTGGTATCACTGACCTCCTGTCTACCAAAAAAATGATGTTAAAGGCCTTTGGACTCACATTTTTAAAATATATCAAATATATTATTTATACACTACTGGCAAAAATGCCGGTCTGTAGATTTCCTGAATAGAAAAGCCTTTGTTAATCCAGTGATCTCATAATAAAAGAAAATCATGGTGCTTAGCTTCTCTCCTGCTCCCTTCCTCCTCCCCCTGACAAAAAAGAGGGTATGTACTGTATAAGAACAAATTTCTGACTTGACAAATATAAAGCAATGGGATGAACATTATCAAAACATTTATATTCTATGTTTGGAAATAAATAAGGCTCTTAGATGCCCTGGTCTTATTGACAGTAAATGAGGTAAAAGTCTTCTAAATGTCCATCCTAGTTCTGAAAACTGATCTCAGGTGCCAAAAACATGTATTTCTTTTTAAAAATATATATTCCTATCAGGAACAATACTAGGATCAAATAATTCACTCAGTGGGGAAGGATTTTTTTTCACTTTTTTTTTTCTCATTATTGAAATATTCTCTGCTTTTTCCCCAAACAATGCTCTATTGAGGATATTATTCTCACAAGATTAATGTTGATACTTACATAACAGTACCATAAGGAATTACACCATTCTTTAAACATTGAACAATCAGAATCGTATTTTTACTTAAATATTCTGGTCAATTAAGCTAATGAAAATATTTATGCTCATAAAGGAGATAAAGGAGAGCTGAGCTTTGGTCTCTTCCTGGTGAGGGGCTAGCATATAGCTGTATGTGAAAATGAAGTAAAACTTCCAAACTTCACCGTTTGGCTGCTGCAAATGTAGAAGACACATCAAATTATTCTTCACACTTTTTAAAAGCTGGTGTGAAAGACTGGTGCTTAGTTTCCTACTCCTAATACAACTTTTAAACTGGTAAACAAACTAGCTGAATATGTTTCAAGCAGAACTGAGTAAAGCTGAGAACATTGCAATTTCCCGAGCCAGAACATCCTAAAGAAGGCCTCATGTTCTGCCAGGTGTGTCCAAGGGGAAAGGTCAGTGTCTGTGCAAGGCACAAGCCAGATCAAAAATCTCCACTGGGAAACCAAGAGCTCTCTGTGAGCAGGAGAAGGAGCTTTGCCAAGCTGGTTGTGCCAGTTGGTTCCATGCAGTGCTCATCTCCATAAGCAAGGCTGGCAGATACTAGACTGATGCACCTTACTGCAGCACCAATATGTACTGATTGACATCCTTTTCCTGCTGCATCTCAAAAACATGGCTAACTCTTGTTCACCGCTCTGATATCTACAGTGATCAAAAGATACAGCCATTGAATAACATCTTCATTTTACAGAGGAATTCACATAAAAACAGATTATGAGCTACGCTGGTCTGCTTCATGAAGCAATTGCCTCTGCAGTAGCGTCATCCGCACTGAGATCAGGATGAATCTCTATGCAATTTAGTGTGTCCAAAAGATGCCTCATGCAACAGGGACACTTGTAACCCAAAACAGTTGTGACCTAAACAAATGAAAAAAAAAAACAAAAAAGTCAAAACCAAACCAAATCAAACCAAAAAAAAAAAAAAAAAAAAGTGGCATTGCAAATCTATATTTATGGTTGTATTTGTATGGATTTTAACGTAGCAACTAACCCCTCTGCCTTCTAGTTCATAGTGTCCATCCTAGCAGTGCTATCTTTGCTTCTCACCTCACCTACACTGACTGACCACCTGATTCATCTGAGTTCATTCTTTTCCTTTTATTCTTATTAGGTAATTCCATCCTCCACTCTAGCAGAACACATTTTATGTTCTGTAGTTTTCTGTGAGAAACAAAAAATTGGAGGGAATAAACATCAAACATAAAAGACAAGATTGATCATTACTTGCCTTATTGTCAAGTGGAAAAAAAAAATAAGAAAGGGAAAAAGTGAGCTGAAGCTCTAACGTTGCACTTTAAAGCTAAAGATCTAGAATAACAATTTAAGCGGTCAAAATGTCCACTGCTCCTATTTTGTTACTTTAAAATAAGCCTTATGCACCTTTAAAAAAATGTTTTATGAAGACCATAGAAGTTTTGTTTCTGATTTTTTTTATATATTTTAGTTTTTAAAGATTAATTATCAAAGCAAATCTAACAAAGATCAAACTATGCTAACAAAATTTTCAAGTTAAGCACTACTGCATCAGCCTATTCTTATGTCTCAGGTATTGCCTGAAGTAACTTCTGCTCAAATTTCACAAAGAGTTAAGAATGGAACACCATTCGAAGACGAGTTTTTGAAGGAAGTCTCTAAAACTATGCTACTACCTTTTGTGAACCATTCATTGCTCTATGCTGAAAGAAATTTTGTCAATACCAATTGCTATATCAATAAAAGCATCTGTACAAACTGGTTTTCATCTGACATGCAGCTGCCAATACTGATAATATCTGTTGGTTGGAAGAGCACATATTTACAAAAACTAGCTCCCATAAATCTCAGATTTTATGATGATTAAAGCTTCCTTCTATATAGGAACAGTGAATTTTTATGTGAAAAGTCCAGTATGTGCCTGTCAATAAATGAATTTTATCATGACTATGGCTCTATATATGATCCATAACCATATTTGAAATTCCAAATTGAAATTTCTAGGTTAGCTTTATAAGTCTTTTTACTTCTATTTTTTTTCATGGTGGGAGGAAAAGACGGGAGAGTTATAGTTGGTATCACACATGAAGATGTGTTTCATAAGTAGTATATGCAACATCATGCTTTCCTTACTGTATTGGAACTTTGAGTCCTTATAACAATAAATATTTCTTCACTAAGGGATCCAACCAGTTAAAATTTCAATTCTAATAAAATAAAAAATTCTGATTCAAAACAGGAGTGAATCAGCTGCATATTTCCAGTTTCATATGATACAGTGATACAAAGCCAAAGTAACAAGGATTATTTTAAGAGACTTACTTGCTTTTTCTTTTCAATATAACAAAAGAATATATATAGAATGTATCAGTCCAAGAAGAATATTTTTTCTCTGCTAATACATAGCACTTAACGAGAGACCCATACTGTTCCAAGTAATTATAAATTGACTCAAACCAGTAATAGCTTGCAGTGATAATAAAATGATTTATTGTCTGCATATTTTGTAAGTTACATTCATTCTGAAAAAATAGTAAAGTGTCTTCAGATCTATTTTATATATAAGGAATAGTTTCATCATCAAAGCTACAGACAATCAAATGTAGAATAACCAATGACTTTAGACATCAAACAAATCAAGGGAGAGCATTCTTCCGTGCGTGCTTTGGCAGGTCCAGAGCATCCAAAATATCACTGAAAGTAAAGGATACATTTTGATGGTTTTAATAGTTTTTTATATTGTGATATACTAAAAATATGAAAGAGACGGGAAAGACTCTGTCAAAGGTCAAATATTTTGTAATGTTTTTTCATTTCCTCTCATTCTCTGGTTAGCTGCTGGAAAAGCATACTCTTGCTTGGGAGCAACCTTCAGAGAACTAGCTTTTTAATGTAATTTGTATGCATTTAACACAATCTCTCACACTTTTACACTTTTATGAAGTAATCTGAAAATTTATCCGTCTGATCAAACAAGTTTATCTGAAGTAGTACTGTATCCAAAACGAGCCAATTAATTAGTAAGGAGTTCTTCAGCTGCATACTCATTTTCAGATTTATTGAAGATTTACAGCATATGGGACTCACAGACTCCTCATGAGTTAAACTGGCATCTGTACGTACAGCTTTCAGTAGAGAACTCAAGAGTAATATTTACAATGTAAATATCAACTTTTATTACATAAGAAACAATATATCACAACTTTCACTTCACAAACACATTTGTTCTGGTTTGATGACTAAAGTCAGCTCTTTGAAATACTATGTGGAAATCAAAAATAACTTGTTCTTGTCATAGACTTTACCAGGTGTCCTTCAGAGGTCCTGAAAAGCAAAGGAGAAATATGTTTTTAGAACACTCATTTTCATAAGTGGTTGCAACAGCCAATGTATAAACACAGAGAAGATGTAGGGAAGAATCAAGGCTTGCCCAAATCCGTTGCCATACAGGGGGCTGGCAAATATAAGCAGTTCCCAAACAGGAGCTTGATGTGTGATGCACATGAAGCCAATACTTGCTTAATGTGCAGCCAATGCTCGCAGGATCAGAAAGGACTGAAGGATTAAGCAGGTTACTGCCCATTGGCCCAATGTGCAGAATAGTCCACAATCAATGCAACCATTCCATTGATGGAAATGGATACCCAAATTCAGGTGCCTCAATGCAGGCTGCATTAACAATTTGTCTTTTGTGATACCAATAGCTAGCGATGCTGAGGAAAAGATTCACTTACAGGAAAACAGGGATCATCAATACAGTCCATCAGAAAAAAAAGGAATAAAAATATTTCCAGAAACAGACCAGTGACCTACTTGGTCAGAATTCCATCTCATTTAGTGAATGCCAGATGTTTTAGAAGATGTAAAATCCAAAAGCAAGTATTTTGGGAATAATCTGCCTAGAAAGAATATTTCTTTGCTGAATTCCATCAGTCAGAAATTGTTTCGTTCCTTCAAGTATAAGTAGTTTATATTGTTCTAATCTTTTGGATTTTTAGAGAAACTACAACATTTATGGAAAGAAAAAGTATTTTCTTTTTGGGATTCCTTCCCAAAGGAATCAAACACATGGGGAAGTATTTGGGGTTGCTTTCTTCCAAATATTATCTTCAAGAGTGTACTTTTCTTTCATATTTGTAATTCAGACACAGCTAAATATCAAAAATACCTTACCAACAATTTTATAACACACTTTCAAGAATATCAGATTCGATTCACTTCTCTATTACCTTTTCAATTTTATCCCCCTTTAAATCTTGTGAAGTAGAAGGACAGTTGTCTGAATAAATAATAATTTTTATAATTAAAAATGAGTCAATTTGGATTTTATGCTGCAGTAAACACAATTTGAAACACCCAAGTGTGTTGAGTGCATTATTAACAGTTCCATTTAATTAGGAATTTTCAGTAACAGCAACCAGGGGATCAGTTAAATATTCTTATTAAAATTATTATTATATTCAGATACAATCCCTACAGAAACACTGTGTTCCTGCTTTCTCTGAGAAACCACTTTTCATGTATGATTAATCTCATCGAATGGGGAAAGTTAACTAAAAGAGAGCAACAATAAAGTAGACCTGGACGTACCAGTGGGAGGTGGCTCAGCAGCTCATCTACAGAAATATCATCATAGTTTTCTGAAAAAGAAGGTCCAAGGAGTTCTGCTTCATCTTGAGGTTTTTCAGGGTTTAGCTCTTCCTGGCTATTGTGGATCAGAAACAAATTTTACTGCCCTCAGAAGAAAAAGTAGATAAGCAAACAATGCCTCGTTCTAAATGTAGCAATTTCATCTTTCATTACATTCATACAGCAGTAATGTAAAACACATGAAACACCTATCAAGACATTACATTTTAAAACAAAAAAGCAGTAGTTTCGGTGAGTGAGTTTGCAACAGAATAGATGCCTTTCAATAACACATACTGGCATTTTTCAGCTATACCAATTAAGATAGACATGTGATTAGGTCACAGTGGATTAGTCCCTGTTCTTTCTGGGACTTCTAAATGTTTAACTATTTATTCAAAATATACCTTTAGGCAAATAGTTCAAAAACACTAGTGTTTTCATTATAAAACATTGGTTATGTTCCATAGCTCTGTGGATTCTTCCTTAAGAGGCTTGCTATAAATAAAAGTATTTTAAGAATGTTAAAAGCTTTTTTAACATTTCCAGATGCTAAGTCTTCTCTTTGTTCTTTCACTCTAATCTGATTGTGATGTCTGTTCTAGTCTGGAAGCAAATCCTGCCTGTATTTTAAAACTGTGTTATAAACTACGTTATAAAGTCATTAATGTTCTTCGTCGTTTGCTTGTCCTCTCTGTATAAGCATGTAAGTATAAATCTTTCATGTCTTGATACCATACAAGTAAGGAAAATATATGCATTTGCTTTCTTGCAATACCTTCTTTTTCCAGTTAAAACTGAGTTTAAGTATTTCTTCACAGCCATTTGCTTTCGGAAGCGACTGTAGTTGTCAGTGAAGACAGCATCAGAGTGACGTTTGACAGGACTGTCCTGGGATCTAGTAATACACAACAATTAAATATAAATAAACCAACATAAACAATATTTTTTTAAAAAAAATAGTATTAAAATGATTGAAATGAACTCTACAGTGTTGACTATCTAAATAAAATCAAATTTTCATTACAGTTTTCATTTCCAATTATGACTTTGGAATTCCCTTTCTTCTCTTGAAAAGAAGTGACTTTGCTGCCACTGCATTATTAGCATACATAACAAACATCAGAACCAAAGAATCTGCATTCAGTCCTCTGAACAAACCTGAACAACTTTGCCATAACCACACAAATCTTACTGAAAGAATCCCAGAGTTTGTGTCATAGGAATTTTGCGTAATTAATCATTTGAATGTGGATTTTATGATTTCCTCCTATGTGTTCTCAAAGCCTATGTTACTCTTTTTAATAAATTGATTCTAACCTGATGTCTTCTATTTGTTGAAATATATTTTAGTACAATACCAAGGTGTACCCCCAAAGATCATGCTTTAAGGCCCTAGTCATTGTTCCCATCATACTTAGTGAAGACTGAGCAAGCTTCTGAAAAAATTTAAGAGTGCACCATCAAAATTTTAGATGCAAATATTTGTTTTAAGGAAGCATCAGAAAACTAAGCACATCTTCTGAAATCCAGGTTTAGAATCATATTTGCCCATGCATGGTCTTGGGAACCTTCAGCTAGTGTGTTCTGCTTTAATGATCTAAATTAATTTACAGCATATGAGAAACTGGTCCTATATGTTCTAGAACAAAGGCAGCATTGATATAAATGCTTAGAAATGTTTAGAGACAAAGACAGCCTTCAGATAAATGGGTAAAACTGGAGGACCTAATTTTCATTCAGCTTTTGAGTATATGAAGCAGGCATTCACAAGAACTGTCATACTGGGTTAGAGCAACATATCCTATTAGTCTGTTCCCAAGAGTGTGCATTAGCTGCTGCTTAGGGATATAAAAACAAGGGAAGTACACAGTAATTCTTGTCAGCATCCTGTAGTCATTAGTTTATGGGGCCTGAAGTTGCATCTGGACCCTGGAGTATGAATATCTCTCATCTTTTGAATCTTTCTGTAACGCAGATTCCCAGTGTGCTCTGGCAATATGTTCTAAAGTAGAATAAAACTCTTTTTTGTTGTCACTGTAAATCAACTGTGTGTTAATTTCATTCAGTGTGCCCTTGCTTTAATATAAGAACTGAACAATCAGTCATCTTGTATTTAACTTTGCCATTCATCTACCAAGCTAGCACAGCTAGCTACAGCAGAATGTACAATTTAACTAAACTATTACATAAAAACATAGCCAATTGGCCAGATAATAAATACTGGCAATATTGCAAAAATTATCAGTGTTATGGGCACTATCTGTTGCTCTATTCTTCACAGCTGTACAGAAATAAAGAACAATATATTCATCTAATAACAAATGCCACTTAGCTGTTATATAGGATTTTCAATTCAACTCCCCCATTATATCAGTTTCCCTGTCATTATTTCCAAATTGCAAAATGAGAAATTGGGTATAAAATGGTAAAAAAAATTGCCAATGAAACTGGCTAGGAAAAGAGTCTACCTAATGTAAGTACGACCTCACCTAACTCGTTTTCTATTAACCGACTGCAGATATCTCTTCAGAGCAAGTCTAGCCAAAAGATGGCTGTAGAGGCTGGTGAAAAGTCCATCAGCATGCCTTGCATTTCTGAAATGGACAATAAACAAACTCTACAATGCAACCTGGGCGATATCATCTTGATAATTTTAATTTTTAAAACATACTGCATTCCTTAAATGATCTTTTGTACACAAAAAAAATCAAAATCATAATTTCATAAAACAACTTCCAGATTTTCACAATATATTTTTTTAGGGATATATTAGGAAGTGAATGAGCTCAACATTCCAGAATGGACATATAATCAACTTCTCTGTGGACATCTCTACTGCTATCAATATCAATATTCAACCACAAACCGCATGTTTTCTCTATAATCTGTTCTTCCTTTCCTACATCTCTAAGGGTTTAAGATGTGGCGAAGTGTTGCAAAAGCATTTTTCCCCCTTGGCATAGTTCAAATAATTCAGCACCATTTGTTCTTATGATAAAAAAAAAAACTCACCTATCGATAATTTTGGACAGATCAAGATAGAATTTCTCATTTTCAGGTAGTGTGTTCTGGAAAGTGTCTGATTCAGACTTTAGTGACCCACGGGCGCGCTCAGGTTCACTGGCTCCATCAAACGGCAGTCTGTTTACCAATCTGTTGGAGAAGTAAACCAGGGAAAATACAGTTAGCTGAGTATATTCAGCACCACCTGTTGCACTTCAACTTAAACTCAGGTTTGTGTCAAAATAGACACCTACAAACTTTTTTAGTCTGTATGAAATGCTGAACTAGTCTAAATAAACTTTTTCTACAAAAATTGGTCTCAAATATAATCCATATTTTGTAATATGATACAGCAACTGGCAGGACTTCTTTCTCTCAATGAATATGTTCTAGAAATGTATTATCAACACAGATGATTAACTCCAATAACCAGTGCATCATTTGTGGCAATTATAACTTTAGTGACAACTGTTAAGCTTTTCATAACAATCATATTTCATATAAATGTTACACAAAATTGTGTGTCCTTCCATGCAAAGTGAAAACAGCGTCTCAGAACTTACCTTCTAATTAAGACCTAAAGTGCATTGAAAAAGCATATGAAATGGTTGTTTGGCCTCTTTATAGGAAAATAAACATGCACTCTAAAACTCCAAACAAAATACGAAATGCAGGTAGATATCTCTACTGATTCTTATTCTCATTTGTTTAAATTAATTTGCTAGTTGCACGTTAATAGGTGCTCATAATTAACCTCTCCACATGTTTCACAACAATTGCTTTATACAAATTGGTTTAATACACCCCTAGAAACTGCCAAGTTTGCAAGAATGTGAAGTATCTCCTGCAATAGTGAATGCAGTATTTTATCAAGGACAGTAGGGCTGTATAGCAGTGGTTTGGCATCAGATGTTTCTTCTAGTGGCTTTTGTATTCTGTGGAAAACAGTAACTTCCTATCTCAGTAGTAAACAAGATGGTAAAAGAAGGTATGCAAAAAGCACACTCTAAAGCTAGATTTTGTTTGGGTGTTATTTGCAGCGTAAATTAAACCAGTTTAACTGGCATATTTTGAAAATAAAGCAATATGCTGCATTCCTTTATTATTTCTACACTTCATGTTCCTCCAAGCTAAATGTAGAACTCTTTATGCCACCTGATTTATGTATAGGCATAATAAAAAAATCAAACAACTCAAGGTATAAAACAGTTCTGTCACTTCAAAACTACACATCAATGCACACAAATCCCTCCTCCTCATGCCCAACTCGGGAGTTCTCAATTCGTGTGATTTTGCCCATATAGATGTGTGCGCTGAACCGCTGAGGTAAAGGGGACTCCCCGTAGGAAATGCCAAGGCTGCTTTGGCAGATACCCGTCGTGCCCGGGAGCACATTTTAACATATATCCTTCATGCTGGAGTGGTGGAGGTTGGAAGGGACCTCTGGAGATCCCCTAGCCCAGCCGCGTGCTCCAGCAGGGTCACCTCCCGCATGTGTCCCGGGACTGTGTCCTGAGCATCCCCAGATGAGGAGCCTCCCCAGCCTCCCCGGGCAAGGCGCCCCGGCAGGTCGCACACCGAGGTGGAGGGCACCCCTCGCTATCGGGGGCGCTTTGGGCACGGGGTGGCCGGGCTCCGGCTACGCCACAGCCTCAGCTGGTACCGGTTGGTACCGGTTGGCACCGGTCCCGGGCAGCCGCGCGGGGTGAGAGCGGCGCTTACCGCGGCGCGGCGGGGAAGGCGGCGGCGCGCGGGGGCAGCGCGCGGGCGCGCCCGCAGAGGGCGCTGAGGAGCGCGAGGGCCAGCAGGAGCGGGGACGCGCCGCGGTGCTCCATGGCCGCCACCTGCGGAGGGAAGAGCCGTGAGCGCCCCGAGCCGCGAGCGGCCGCGCCGGCCCCGCGCGCGCCCCCGAGGGATAAATCCTCAGCGGCAGTTATTACTTTTTACTTCCAAACGTATTGTTAAAATAACCGTGTTCCCAGCGCCGCCGCGCCCCGACGGCTGCGGCGCCTTTTGCGGCGGGCAGCGGCTGAGGCGCGGGCAGCCGCGGCGCTTCCCCGCGGGCGCAAAGTTACTCACGGAGCGGCGAGTCCGTCGGAGGGACTGGTGCGGGGCGCTGCGCGGTGCGGTGCGGTGCGGCGGGGGAGCTGCGCCCTGCGGCGCTGCGCGGGGCGGCCGCGGCGGAGGACGAGCACGGAGGATGAGGATGAGGATGAGGAGGGTGAGGAGAGCTCCGTCCCGCCGCACGCTCTGAGCTGCCCGTCGCGCCGCCGCGTTTTATAGCGTTTACACGTTTCTGCTTCCGAAGAAGCAATCACGTTACTGGAGAGACGTCACCCATCCCCGAGGGGATGGTCGCTTTGTTCAGGACAGTCAGAAACTTATATTTAATTCATGAGCAGCCGCGCACCCTGCTCCCCCCCCCCCCCCCCCCCCCCCCCCCCCCCCCCCCCCCCCCCCCCCTTCAATTATTTGGCTTCTATTAACGCGTGGGTTTTGCGGAGCAGGGCTGCGCGGGCTCTGCCCCGCGAGGCGCAAGGGGAGCAGCCGGGCCGAGGGGCGCTGCTCCCACTGCTCCCGCTGCTCCCGGCCCGGGACCCCGCTGTGGGGCGGCCCGATGGGGATCACCGGGGCCTCTGTGCGCCCCGCTCTTCCCCGCACCAGCCCGGCCCGACCCTCCACGAAACCCCCCTCCCGGGTCTGACAATCCTCGATGGACTAGTTAGACTTTCGGATGGTGGTCTGGTGTTTACGAGCCTGGGCTTTGTCATTTAAAATGTTCCTGGGACACAAAACAGCCCCACATCCTACCTCCCCGTCCAAGCGGCTGAAACACTAAGTGCAAGTAACAGCCCAACCACACGGTGTTGAAGGCTGTGCTGGTAGCCCAGGGATGAGGGCTGCAGCTCCTTTAGGTTTGGAGGATGATGAGAATCCTGTTAAATTTTGTAAAATTGCCCTGGAGGGCAGTGTGTGCGGAGGGGTTTAGCACATCCATATTTGCACATTTCTCTCAAGCCCAGACCTCAGGATTGGAATCAGCACCACAGCAAGAGAGGATCATTTGTTTTCAAGCCTTGGACTTTCGCCTTGGAGGGGTTTTGTTTGTTTGTTTGCTCGTTTGTTTTTCCTGCCTCAGAGAGTTTTGTGGGCACAAAAGGAGAGACACCAGGGAACAAGTGGCACTTGTGGACTGTGTTGCCGGGTAGGGATGCTGCTGCAAGCACCTGGGTCTGACCAAGCCCTGAAACACCCAACAAATCTCAGCAAGAAGCAGTTTCATCTACGAAGGTCATAATACCTTTTCCCCTCTAGTCTTCTACTTAGTAGGTAACCACTGTACCAAATCCAGGCAAAGGATTTTACCATTTCCTTTTACTTCTAATAAGTTTCCCTGTTTCGGTTTCATGTTTCACCAAAGGTTAGGCAGGCACAACGGCAAAGATTCTGTGATGCTTAATCACATTTTCTAATCCAGTTACATGAAAAGTAAGTGAATTAGATTTAAAAATGCCTGGAAATTTGTTTCTCAGATGACAACTGTGACTAAAACCAGAGTTCCTGCGGTAGTCTAATTTCAGGAAATTTTCCCCTCGTTACTACATAACTAGAGGTCAGTTCTGCTCTGGTATGGCAAAATGAGCATCAATAGCACCGTATTCCCCACACTTCTTAACAGTCTTTCCTCAGAAATAAGGCAGCACGGGTTTACAGGCGCTGTGCTGCATGCGGGAGCCGGTGAAGTTAGATGGACTTAAACGAAGTACTTGAAAGGAGAAGGGAGCCGGGAAACCTGCCTCGTGGGCAGCGTGTTTCAGTGCTGCGCAAGATGGGTCGCTCTGGAGCCGCAAAGCCCGCAGCTGCCTTCCCTGCCGTGGCAGACAGGGCTAGTGAAGGGTCCCACGCACCGGAGGGGTCTCCCCCGCAGCGCGGCCGCCCCCGTCGCCGCTGGGGATGCTGCAGGTGGGGCTGCCCTCCGGGACGGAAACACTGGGACACCCCTTGCGGGAACACCGGCATGCAGCTTGCAGGAACCAGGGACCAGAGAGAGGAGGGAAGATCCCTTCCCGTGCCCTGGCTGTGCCGGGGAAGCGGTGCCGAGGCGCAGGCTCTGCTCGCCGGGAGGGAGCAGGGGGTGCGCGGGCGCCCGGGGCCCTGTCAGTCGCTGCCGATGTGCTGTACAGGCAGCTGCAGCGCGGTGAGGAATCGCACTGCGCTGCCAACAGCAATGTTTTACCGGCACCTTTGTTTTCCTTGATCATACCATCACCATCTATTTACCGTTCCTGGTAAATGTTATTTGGACAAGGAAGTAGCGCGGTGTTAGGGAGGGATAAGGTGGTCCACCAGAACATCCCTAGAGGTGGCAAAGCTCCTGAAAGAACTCTCCATGGTCCCTTTAATGACCGAAGCTATCGTTACTGTTTTTATTCTTGCAATGCCTTCTTTTCTCTATTCCTCAGATAGTGAACATCATAGAAAGGTCAAGTGAATTCTCCTATACGTGAAATCTCTGCTATAGCTTTGGGATGACTGAAGTCTTCCAAGCTTTTCCAATTGTGCTAACAATTGACTTCATATCCCATCAAGTCTGCACTGCTACCACCCTCTCCTGCTCTTGAGGCAAGTCAACACAAGCTGAAAAGGAGATGCTGCCTCCACCTTTCTCCTTAGTCCTTACTCCCATTTCTCAAGTGGGCTTTCACTAAGGAAGGCCCTTTGAGGATGACTGAGAAATGTTGGGGCTGGTAATCCAAATTCTACTCTTTTACAGACTTTTTTGGTGAATCTCCACAGCAATTCCATGTCATTTGGATATGTCTTGATAAAAGAAAAAAAAATTTATAAAGAGATATCTTGAGGTAAAGCCCCTTACTGTAGGAGTGCTGAGTGAGCCCTCTAAGATGTGATAGTTTTAGGATTGTAACTCCTCCCGTCTTCCAGTGACAGAAGCTCAACCATTTCTAAGAAGTGTCATTTGGGCTTGGGAGCTTCTCCAGGAGAACAGGCAACTTTGGGGAAGGCGAGTATTTTTCATAGACTGTTGCAGGAATCCTGTTGCATAAAATGCAATGTCATTTACTGACATTATTATCTTTAGTCTACGTTATCAAACATCTTTTGGCTACTTTTGACCATTACCTTATTTCCTTTATCTTTTGACTCAATAAAACAGATTTATAATCATAAAATGGGCAATATTTGGGAATGGTAGAAACCTCATTTGACAAGAGTGAACAGCAGAAGCTTGTCTGAAAGCTTATCTCACCATTTTCATGAAAATTTGTGTGATATATGTACAAATCCAGTATGACATGAAATAGCGACATTGTTCTGGGAAAAGAGATTTGTGAGTTTTCAGGTTTATTAAATATGATTATTATTTTTGGCATATAAAACTACTGAAATTCACAAACAAAAACACTATTTGAGATAAATCCTTTGAAAGGATGAAAGGGGGAAATATACTTAGTTCCACTGGGGCTATGTTTAGCATTTACCAGTTCTGTCATGTAATCGTATTTTAAAAACAGAAATTATATCAACCATTAACTATACTCTTTTTTCGTTAAAAAGGAAGAAGTAAAAGACTGTTGTTTTAGGGCTTGCAAACATCTACTGACTCATGGGCTGTCTATCACGAGTCACTGGATTGGCAGAATCTCCCTTGTGCATCACAACTCATGTTCTTCTAGATGAATTCAGAAACTCTGCTTTTGATCCCACGGCCATATTACATTGATCCATGATTTTTAGAGCTTATAGAGTAGATTGATGGAGCACTACTATTCAGCTGCTAACAGAAGAGCTTTCCTGACTTCCAGAAAAGATACAACAGAAGAAATGTCAAGAAACTGTACAATAAGATAAAATAAAAAAATCAATAAAACGTCATGAGCCTATCTGCACTTCTCTAATCCTTCAGAGCCATGGTTAACACTCCATTTTATCCTCTCATCCTCCTGTTGCCTCACTTGGTCCCACTTTCCCACAAACATTTATATTCTCCAATACTACCTGGTTAGGAAAAAATGGATGGAGTCACTTAGAGAAACTTGTCTCAGCTATTCCAACTCTCTCTGCATGCATCCCAAGAGAAATAAGGAGAAAGACATTGATTTATTCTTTCATTATATGTATGTTTTATTTCAAATGCACAGTCCTCTTTCTATCATGAGTCAGTTTAGCTTTAGCTTGAGTCAGTTCTGTGGACTCAAGAGATGTGATAGCAACCAGAAAAAAACACAGGCAAATACCTTGTAACTGAATGCTCGTGACTTTGACTTCCCTCCTGCAGCAGAAGCGTCCAGGGGAGCAGCACTTGTCTCCTCTGTTACCAGGACACAAGGGAGTCACGGAGCTGGAAGAGGGGAGCCCTCGTTTCCTCTCTCTGCCATCCTGAGCCCCATCCTTAAGTCACAAGAGTGGCTCCTCACAACAGTTTCTTACTGGATTAAACTGCTACAATAAGTAAACTATAATAACAAGTCTGTCTGCTATGTACAACACTATTATACAAATCTCTCCTGTTCTAGATGACAACTTTGCCAGTGTCACTGTGTGGGTTAACAGTTAGGGCTGCAGCATTTGGGTTATGCCCTTAGCTCCCAGCTGTGCTTCCATCTCTTGCATTAGTATGCATATCATTAACACAAACTCCTTTGCCATTTCCATATTGATGATACTTGATTAAAACTTCCCAGTGAGTACTTTTGTGAGCAGGACAACTGCTGAATCTGGTGGTATTCCTACGTGTCCCTTTTCCTTGTCTATCATGCAATCTAGGAAAACTGTTGCTGCTGGTAATTTATTTCTGCGGTTTCTTATCCTCTGCTCCTTACTCCAAAGTCCTGCCTCAGCTTCTCACAAATACCCAAACCTGTTTGAGACAGTTATTTGGTTTTCTAGGTATTTATACAGATGGGCATCTGCTTGAACTTCTCTTCCATGTTTGACTAGTTCATGGTATGTGGCTGTCCTAGAAATCTCAATCCAAATTCATTCGTATTTTTTTGATGAGGATGTAATGTTTTTGTCATTATCCTCTCATAATACCAGACACACATCTTTTGCACTGTTAAGATCCAAGACTATCCATGCTTTCACAATGGGTTTAATACTGCTTTTCTTTCAAAGCAATCACCTTCAGTCTAACCAACTTATATGATGTCATTCATCTCAAACCTGGAAAACAAGAGTGGTAATAAAAAGTTTGTCAGGAAGGCAGAGTCGTTTGTGGTTTAGT